TATTGAATAAAACAACGTAAAACTGAACTAATATCCATGATAAACAGATTTAATATTCTTTTTATCTTAAAAATAACAAAATAATAATCTTATTCTGCCAAGGCGCAGATTATTAGCTAATACACGTTAAAGTCCCACGGCATCCAGTATTATATTGTTTAAGCCTAATCCTAAGAAATGAAATACAATGATTTATTAATGTTATATATCTTATCCGATGAGTCCTAAGGACAAAATACAGTCTAATTGTCTAAGACAAAGCTCTCAAAAATAAAAATAGTACTGATGTTTGAATTAAAGCTCTCATTTTTATTCTGTGCACGGAAGCGCTCGTTAGCCTTCTAAATTATGCAGAGAACCAAGGAAAGATAACGGGGATGCGCATCACGCGTGCGTGTCCATCGGTATCTCACCTTCTCTTTGCTGATGATAGTCTGTTTTTCTGTAAGGCGGAGCCCCGTGAATGTGAAGAAGTAATGAAAGTGGTCACGATATATGGACAAGCCTCAGGGCAATGTATTAATTTTGATAAGTCTTCTTTACTCTTTGGTAAAAGAATTGGCCTCGATGTGAGACAAGAGATTAAAGACACACTTGGAATCCAGAATGAAGGAGGAATGGGGTCATATTTGGGCATACCAGAGGATATCAGTGGGTCCAAATGTAGACTTTTTGCTTTCCTTAAGGACAAGCTGAGAGGTATAGTAAATGGATGGACTGGCAGATGGCTTTCGAAAGGGGGAAAAGAAGTTATGATAAAGTCAATTCTGCTTGCTCTTCCGACATATGTTATGTCTTGCTTTCTTCTCCCTTTGGAGATTTGTGAGAATTTATCTAGTGCCATTGCACAGTTCTGGTGGAGCTCAAATCCGCCAAAAAAAGGCATGCACTGGTCAACATGGGACAAACTTTGCTTACCTAGGGAAGAAGGCGGAATTGGCTTTAGAATGATACATGAATTCAACCTTGCGTTACTGGCAAAACAATTATGGAGACTGACTCAAAACCCTGACTCTCTTGTAGCTCGAGTTTTGAGAGGCCGGTATTACAGGATGAGTACGCCTTTGCGTGTGATCAATACTAACAGCCCATCATATGTGTGGACAAGCATTTCGGCTGGTAGGGAACTACTATTACAAGGAATTAGACAAAAAGTTCACTCGGGATATGAAGTTAAAGTTTGGGAAGACCCTTGGATCCCTACCATACCTGCGAGACCAGCAACCCCACTAGTTCCGGTTATGCATCCGAATATGAGAGTGAGTGATTTGATTGACCAAACGATGAAGTCTTGGGACGACAACCGCCTCCGCGACTATATTGATGCAGCTGACATACCACTTATCAAGAGTTTGGCCATTAGCTCTACGCATCGGCGCAACACGTTCTGCTGGAGCTATACGAGGTTTGGACAGTATACTGTAAAATCTGGATACTGGGTGGCACGAAATATCTTGAGGAAGGAAGAAGATCCTGAAGTACGTGAGCCCAGTATTACAAAACTCCAAGCACATGCTTGGAAGGTTAGGGCTCCCCAGAAGATACGCCATCTTATGTGGCATGTAATAACAGGGCATGTAGCTGTTACGAGCATTTTGAACTACAGACACATGAGGTGTGACAACCATTGCCCTCGATGTGGGGAACCGGAGGAGACGATCACACATGCAATATTTGAATGCCCTCCTGCTTTACAAGTTTGGGCGCTATCATCTACGCCTACCAATCCCGCTATGTTCCCAGTACAAAGCACATACGCGAATATGGATTATCTATTCTGGAGGAAGAATGCGTTAATGGAACCAGAATTGGATAGGGATCCTTATCCTTGGCTAATCTGGTACATTTGGAAGGCTAGGAATGACAAGCTCTTCAGAGGTATTGATAGGGATCCATTGGAGGTAGCGCGCTACGCAGAAAGTGAATGCCAGGCATGGTTCCAAGCAAATGAGCAGGAAATTCTGATTCCCATTGGAAACGGAACAGCGGAAGACCAGACCTTAAGTTTGGGTAACATATGCTTGGTGGATGGATCTTGGTCTGCTACAAATACGTTCAGTGGATGTGGATGGGTGCTTAACGATAATTTTGGAAATAGTAGCTTAATGGGGATGCGCAATTTTGATCGAGTGGAGTTGGCGTTGCATTCAGAGTTGGAAGCACTGCGGTGGGCAATGGAGAATATGCTTCAACATTCGCCATGTCAGAGCTTTAGGACTGATTGCAAGGAGATGATTGAGATGCTCAAGAACCCTCATGCATGGCCAAACTTTTCAACGGAGCTGGAAAAGCTGGAGATACTGAAGATCTGCTTCCCTGACTTTAAGATTTGTTATGTTCCTAGAGGTCAGAACGTTGTTTCTGATTCTCTAGCTAAGACAGCTAGGTCTTTTTATCGTAAGCTTGTGTACATTGGTTGTTCTGTTCCGGTCTGGATTCCCAGACCACCTCAAGTTTCTTGAGTAATAGATCGGCCGTTTGATGTCAAAAAAAAAAAAAAAAAAGCTGAGGGTAAAGCTAAATGGGAACATCATTTGAATAACATCCTATGTATGGGTGGGAAAGATGAAGAATTTAATTAAATCAGAGTCCAAATCAAACGTTTGATTGTCTGTATGAACGAGCATTCTAAGTGGCTTGAAGTTAGTATTCATCTTCCTTTCAACCCATCAGAGTACAATAGAAAGTTCAAAGAACTCAAAGCCAAGATTCTCTCTTTCATGTTCTATCTTCTCTCTCTCTTTCCTATACATCTTCTTAAGTCAAATCCTCGTTTTTAGGCTATTTCAAACTAGTGACATGTTTTTGAGTAAAGGTATTGAACCAAATAATAATGCACAAACCGCCATTCACTGTTGTAGTTTGGAAATCGCTCAACATTTAGTGATGTAAGGTACATATTTTGATGTGAAAGACAATATCTTTATAAAAAAAAAAAGTTGTTCTTTGATGACCATTTACTCGTTTACTCAAAGCAAACCTTCATGTTTCGGACTGAATGATACTATCTCCAAGATAAGACTTCAAAATCAAGTGTGACATCTCCTTGGTACTTATAACACAATCATTTTGGTTGATTTTTTTTGTTCGTGTAACTTTGAGTCAAATTAAGAACTAAACTGGAACTTCACTGAAAATTTTGTTGCAACTATTACTAGTTTTATAATACAATAAGGTTTGAACTCAGATTTTTTATTGGATAATATATATATACCAATACATCTGGCATTTTGACGTAAGAAATTATTCTAAAGCTATATAATTTTTAGGCTATTAGATCTGTTACATATACAATGTATATTATACACTTTTCATCATTACATGCAATTTACATCTTTTAACCATATTTGGTTGGACGTGCCTAATTTTTGAAGATATGTTTATGTTTCTCCTCAAAACCATAAACAAATGTTGCAATGGTTTATTATATACTTGAAAGCAGTTTTATGTGGTTTGCATCTGAAATTGAAAGATTAATAATTTTTTTAATGCTGTGTTCTTTTTTATTATGTGTATTATTCTTAAAGTATAACTGATTTCACATGCCGATCATGTCATTTAAATCAGGGATATATTCTTTAGCTTTTTGGGATTAACAAGCAACTAAACATTCCAGGATTCAGAAAAAACTAAGTCACAGAAGTTTACTAACTAGCCTGGTTACATAACATTAGCGACAACAACAATTCATTATGCGAGGTGTCGATTTTAACTCATCTGAGTTATACTTTGTTTACTGTATAGTTCTCAAAATTGACATGAGGCACCAAGTCTCTGTATCTTACTCAACGTTGCCGTTTAGTGTTTTGCAAACGCCGGTCCAAGCTACTCTTGGAACCTCACCAAGACCAAAACCCACTCGTATTCTTCATGTCTGCTACTTTCACAAAGCTTGCACTTACTGTTAGCTGTTTGTTTGCGCTTTTTTGACCAAATGATGTGTTCACAGATTCGCCTCTTGTTAATGGTTTCGGGTTCTTTTGTCCAGCATCGCTAAGATGTGTGTTCTTCATCGAAGTAGAAAGCTTCGAAAGAGAGAGAGAGAGAGACTTTTCATGAAAACTAAAAAAACTGTCTTTCATTGTGGTCATTGGGACAACATTGTCAGCATTGTCCTCTTCTTATTCTTCTTCTTCATCATCTTCCTCTTCTTCAAGCATTCCAAGTGATTGTTAAACTTGGTAGACAAGCTTCTCTAATCATTAGAAGAAGAGTATACCAAGCCTTCTAAGCATCTCACAGTCCTTCAACGGATCCAGCTTTCTGTATGTACTCAAGCTCTTCTTCAGAGAAAGGCAACGATGCCTGAGGCCAATGAATCCACTCGAAGTAAGGATCCTCTAAGGTCTCTGGCAAGCAGAGACAGGTGCAAAGGGCCCTTCATCTGTTGGCTTGACAATAGGAACACTCTGACTATTTCTGTTTCTGAAATAGTAAGCTACTCCAAGCCCGCTGTGCACAGTGAGTGGCTCAACGCCAACCTTCATGGCCTTGACGATGTCCTTCACCATTTGTTTTACAATGGAGACACACTCTGATTGGCTAAGTATCTCGATTGGACTGCTACGGTCTTTCTGTTGAAGATCTTTCCCAGTAGGAGAAAGACAAGAAGAAATGAGCTTCTGTGCATAAAGTTACGTTTCAGGAGAAGTCGAGAAATCGATGAAAAAAAAAAAATTAGGTCAAAGAACCTTGTAGCTCTGATACCATGAAATATAATTTAAAAGTGTTTGATTGTATTGATGTACAAGGTATCATATATATACAAGAAGTAGAGTCCTAATCCTTAGGGGATTTGTATATCGGATAATAACAAAGTTGTAGTTATCTCTAAACTTCTATGTTTATCTCTATATTCCTCACAGCACTGAGATCGTTGCCGTGTCAAGCAGTGACACAAGAAGAGCCTCTGATATTCCAAAATAGGTAAAAAGTTTATTTTCAACATCATAGCAGATACTCTGTTACATAACGCTCACTAAAACCAAAAGTTGAACTAATTAGACAGCTTCTGGTTGAACGAATGGGTTACCGATTTCTTCGGTTCCATCTGTTGGTGAGACGAGCATCACCGCAGTTTCACGACAAACCTAAAACCATAGACAACGTAGTGGTAGTTTAAATCTAATGGATTTAACTGTAAAACATCATGACAAGTAAGAAGATGCCAAAAAGTAACAATGCTCGTAATTTCATTATACAGAACTACTCTTATAATAAAAATTGAAAACAGAATAGTGAGTCTTACAATTAAACCGAGGCGTCTCTCGTCTGGTCTGTAGTCTTCGATGGATCATCATGATCTGGTCAAAAACATTAGACAAATGTCATAATAAATCAAGAAGACAAAACACAACTCTAGTTTTAACATAAATATATATTATAGAATATCCGTTTTTATATCACATCCTGGATTAAGCAAACAAAAAACCCCTCTCGTCCAGCATATACTAATTAAGATTTAGATGAATTTCAACTGCATAGATACACATACACTTGGTGACATATGTATGTAGCAAATACAGACAACATACAATATAGATAATACAGTATAAATCATGGACACTAACAACATACCTTCTGGTTTCAACTTAGATAAAGAGTATAATGGTGTCCCAATTAAAATCACAGAGAACATGATTACGAGATAAAAACCTCTCTTCTCACCTATCTAATCAAAATCTCTATTGCACACAAAAAGGAAGGGGGAGAGTTATTTGCAGCAGAGTAAAGGGAACCAAATCAGATACAGAGCTTGTATTGGGCTATATTACAATTATGCAATAGTTATGGACTAAGATTGTAAATACTTATTAATGGTTTTAGGGTTTGTATATGTAATTGAGAGATAACGTTGTAAAGAGACGACAAGAAATAATATAGAGAATTTTCAGATCTTTTATGGTATCAGAGCAAAGGTTGGATTTCTTGTTCATTGGATTCGCGGAAAGCGATTATTGATTTCGGCGGTACTGTTCATCGTCACTGTTCACGGTTACTGTTCATCGTCACTGTTCACACGGTACTGTTCATCGTCACTGTTCACGGTGGTACTGTTCATCGGTTACTGTTCACGCGATTACTGTTCATCGGTTACTGTTCACGCGATTACTGTTCATCGGTTACTGTTCACGCGATTACTGTTCATCGGTTACTGTTCATCGGTGGATGATGGAAGAGAAGTTTATTGATAATAATAGATTTGCGGAAAGCAATCTTAGAAGTGTTGAAGAAGAAGTTGCGGAAAGCGCTTCACTGAGACAAAAGAGTTCAGTGGCATATACACCTGTTATGTCACACACGGTTACGATGCAGATTAATTCTCATGCCAAAACTGGTTTGAAGAAAGAGAAATGGGAACAAATTTTGGGTGACTCTTGTGTAAAATCAGAATCAGCTAATTTTTCCAGTAAAGAAAGATTCGTGGATGAGTGGATAATAGATAGTGGAGCTTCACATCATATGACAGATACGTTGAGCTCTCTTGGTGATGTCTACAGAGTCTCACCGTGCTTGGTTGGATTACCTAATGGGAAGAGTGTAGTTGCTGATCGAGAAGGAAGTATTGTTTTGACAGAGAAGTTGAGGTTGACACGAGTTCTTTTTGTGGAAGATTTGAAGTGTAGTCTCATCTCGGTGTCACAGTTGATTGATGAGCTGAGTTGTATTGTATTGTTTTCAAAGACAGGATGTCTTTTGTATGATGTTGGTGTGCAGATGGTGATTGGAACGGGCAAAAGAAGAGAAAGACTGTATTTTCTTCAAGGTATTAAACATATTCGAAGTGTTAGGAGAGAAACTAAAGTTGAATCATTAGAAGTTTGGCATAAAAGAATGGGACATGCCTCTGAAAAGGTAATTAGGAAGTTACCTGGTGTTGATAGTGGAAGTAATGGAGTATCTGGGTGTGACATATGCTTCAAAGCGAAGCAATGTCGAAGTGAGTTTCTGCTGAGTTCAAACAAAAGCAAAGAGTGCTCTGAGATGATACATTGTGATTTATGGGGACCGTATCGGACGCCTAGTTTGAATGGTTTTTCTTACTTCCTTACGATTGTGGATGATTATTCTAGAGCTGTTTGGGTATTTTTGCTTGTGGAAAAGAGTCAAGTTGAAAGAACAATGATGGATTTCTTTGCTTTAGTTCAGAGACAATTTGATAAGCAAGTGAAGATAGTACGGAGTGATAATGGCAGTGAGTTCTTGAAGATGAGAGACTATTTTTACAGATTAGGAGTGATCCATCAGACATCGTGTGTGGGTACACCCCAGCAGAATGGAAGAGTTGAGAGGAAACATAGACACATATTGAATGTGGCACGAGCTTTAAGGTTTCAGGCGAGTTTACCTATAGAGTTCTGGGGTCATTGTGTGTTGGGTGCATCACATTTAATCAATAGGACGCCCTGTGAGATACACAAGGGAAGAAGTCCTTATGAGATTTTGTTTGGAAAAGCTCCTACATATAGTGATATACGGATCTTTGGATGTCTCGCATATGCTCATAATCAGAAGCGTCATGGTGATAAGTTTGCTAGTCGTAGTAGAAAATGTGCCTTTATTGGTTACCCTTATGCAAAGAAAGGGTGGACTATGTTGGATTTAGAAACAAGAGAAGAATTTGTCTCTCGAGATGTATCTTTCATCGAAGATAAATATCCCTTCTTTGAAGCTCACAAAGAATCAAACGTGTCTATACATGATGGACTGAGCCATATTTCTCATTTAATGGATGAGTCTGGAATTGAAAGAAGATTTGAAGAAGCTGATGAGATACGGGATACAATGTGTGACTTAATGCCAGAAGAAGCCACAAGAGCTGCTGAAAATGATGTGCAACCACCTGTTTCAGAAGAAGTAGTTGAGAATGAAACAGAGGTTGTAGTTGTGACACATGGTGAGACAGAAACACAATCTGAACCTTCGAGAGACACACATGTGGAGACTGGAGGATCAGATACAATGTTAGGACGGGGTATGAGAAAGAAAGAAGCTTCTGTCAGGCTACGTGATTATGTGGTTAACACAATGGTTCCTACTCCTATGTCTTTATGTAAGGTGAACCTAGAAGGAAGTTCAGAATATGGAATTGAAAATTTTGTGAATTGTGATAGATTTTCTGAGTCACATAGAGTGTTTTTGGCTAGTGTAACAGCAGGAACTGTGCCAAGGACATTTGCTGAAGCAATGAAATGTCCAAGATGGCGAGAAGCAATGAGGGTTGAGATTGAGGCTCAAGAGAAGAATAAGACGTGGTCAACTCAATTTTTACCTTATGGCAAGCGGGTGATTGAATGCAAGTGGGTATTCACAATAAAGTATAATGCAGATGGATCGATTGAAAGGTATAAGGCTCGACTTGTTGCTTGTGGTAATCGACAAAAAGAAGGAGTTGACTACAAAGAAACATTTGCCCCTGTGGTAAAAATGAATACAATTAGATTGGTTCTTCAGGTTGCTGCAGGAAAGAATTGGGAACTTCATCAGATGGATGTACACAATGCATTTCTTCATGGAGACTTGAAGGAAGAAGTGTATATGAGGCTGCCTCAGGGTTTCAGTGCTTCTACAAAGGGAATGGTATGCAGGTTGCACAAATCTTTGTATGGTTTGAAACAAGCTTCGAGGTGTTGGTTTGCCAAGCTTTCAAAAGTTCTTTTAAAGTTTGGTTTTACATAGAATAAGTCAGATTACTCACTTTTTTCGTTGGTGAATGCTAAAGTTCAGTTGCATGTACTGGTGTATATTGATGATCTGGTGATAACAGGAAACTCACCAGAAGCTATTCGAGAGTTTAAAGGATATCTGAGTGGTTGTTTTCATATGAAGGATTTGGGAAAACTTAAGTATTTTCTGGGAATAGAAGTGGCACGTAGCAAAGAAGGTATCTATCTGTCCCAAAGAAAATATGTATTGGATATTATTTCTGATGTTGGGTTGCTTGGTGGTAGACCTGTGGAATTTCCCATGGAACCGAACCATCAGTTGGGACGGTTTGAAGAGAAGGTACTTGATGATCCAGAGAAGTATCGAAGATTGGTTGGGAGATTGATTTATTTGGCTGCGACTAGACCTGATATTGCGTACTCTGTTCATATTTTATCTCAGTTTATGTAGAAACCAAGGGAGGATCACTGGTTGGCTGCACTGAGAGTTGTTCGGTATTTGAAAGGGTGTCCAAGAATGGGAATTTTACTGAAAACTGAATGCAATTTTCATCTCACAGCTTGGTGTGATTCAGACTGGTCTGGATGTCCGATTACCAGGAGATCTTTGAATGGTTGGTTAATACAATTGGGGTCTTCTCCTGTATCTTGGAGGTCAAAGAAGCAGGATGTTGTGGCTCTTTCATCAGCTGAAGCAGAATATAGAGCTATGGTTGCTGCATTGAAGGAGTTGAAGTGGATTAAGGGTGTGTTATCATCTATGGGTATTGTACATTTAGGTGCTATGGATATGTATTGTGATAGTAAATCTGCTCTTCACATTGCAGCTAATCCTGTGTTTCATGAGAGGACGAAACATGTGGAGTCAGATTGTCACTTCATTAGAGATGATATACAAGCAGGACTTTTACGTACGAATTATGTACCAACAACGGATCAATTGGCAGATATGTTTACGAAAGCGTTAGGAGGACGTCCCTTTCAAGCGATCTTACCCAAGTTGGGCATTCGAGATCTCCATACTCCAACTTGAGTAGGGGTATTGGGCTATATTACAATTATGCAATAGTTATGGACTAAGATTGTAAATACTTATTAATGGTTTTAGGGTTTGTATATGTAATTGAGAGATAACGTTGTAAAGAGACGACAAGAAATAATATAGAGAATTTTCAGATCTTTTAGCTTGTGACATAACCTAAAACAACTCATCTCATGTTTGTGCAGTAATTCAAATAGACAAAGATAATGCAAAGAAAGAAATTACCACGAACAGACTCCACAGCCCCATCGAGAACAAGGTTCAGCAACTGATCATAGCCTTTAAGAGTTCCAGTGACTTGCAGAAAAAAAAAAAAAAAAAAACAAGCATCAAAAAATCAAAGCAAGAATCAAATAAAAAGCTATGTTCTATAATCACCTTGTCTACCACCAGTGAGCTTAACTTGCACTCCCTTATCTACAAACTTAGCCAAATCCAACACTGTTTCCTTTCTTCCTGACAGTAACCAAACAAAAACAGAGCAAATGAAACACTGAACTGAACTTTATACATCAATGGCCGATACCCTACCATGTTAGAGCAAAGCCCTTTAAAGAGATTCTTCAAAAAAAAAAAGAGCTAAAAATCTATAAAAATCAAACTGGTTAAACGAAGCAAGTCAATGAGCTTCATCAAAACACACAAGGTTTGAGAGCTAATTCAAGAGCTTGATAAAGTAAACTCACAAGGGATACGATTTTGTAAAGTTGGAGAAACTCAGAGAACTCCCGGTTTAAATCTATAACCATGGTTTGATGATTGGTTTCTCACGATTCGCTATAATATGGCTTAACCGGGTTGGGTATCTCCATAATTATTATCAGAAAGTGATTTCACGATCCGTTTTTTTTTTAATATATAAATTCGGTTTTCTGGCAAAATAAAGGATTTTTAAAAATATATTTGGTCGACAAAATGATTTTAAAATATAGTTTTAATTTAGTTTTTATCTCGTTGAGTTTTGGTTCGGTTTAACTATACCTTTATGAATATGAATATGAAAACTCCCTATGTGATTTTGGTTTTTTGGTTTATTCGGGTTCGATATTTTAGTTTCGGTTGGTTTGATTGCTACAATATCCTTAAAAATCTTGTTTGTTTTTTGGTTAATTTCTATTTTAAACCAGACCGAACCAATTTTTTTATTTCGGTTATATTTCCATTTAAACTTTTCTAAAAACTTGAATAATGTTGGTTACCTTCGATTTAATTCGGTTATTTATTTGAATAATCTGTCATTTTATTTAGTTATTTTAACTAATTTTAGTTATTTTCAGATAATTCAATTAATTTATTTATTTACAAAGGAAAAAGAAACCAACTCAGTGCCGAATAGAAACCAAAGTGTTTTCAAAAGCTTTGAACTGAACCAATCAAAAACAGAAAATTTTGGTTCCGTTCAAATCCGCATGGCTAATGAAAAACTACAAGAGGCTATTTCCTCTTGCATTTCGGTAAAGAATCTAGGTTGAATAAAATTCATGAGGTACAAGAAAATAAAACAAGAGAAAGTTATATTTATACATAAGTTACAACTTCTAGCTAATTCTGAGTTTCTCGAAGCATCCTTAACCAAGCAAACCAACCGATAATGCCAATTGAAAGACTAAATACGATATGAAGGACATTAAAGGTTAAGGAAAACGAAGTATGATGTAAATCTGCAATAACCACTGCTTTACATGAATCGCAATCGAAGCATAATGTGTTTTCCGTATTGTTCCACGTCCTGCAATCATTTTCTACGTTGTTATAATATTTTGACATCGTCCAAATGTTTGGTTTCACGTAAGTTAATCCACATGAAAGTGGTGGTTTGCAGCAACCCGACTGTTAAAACAAAAAAAAGAGTATGTTAGAATGAAATAAAACTATACTGTAACACATCTCTTAGTACGTATAAGTTACCTGTATAGGAGTTAGGTTCATCTGATGAAACTCAGAAGAAGACATGTTTTGGTTAGAGAATAGTTTGTTACAAACATTGTCCTTAACAAGACATCTTCTAGTACGATACCATTCATCTTCTTTGATGACCAATCTATGAACCCATCCAGAGTAATCCTCGAGTCTAAACTCATTGATCTTTGTCCCAGGGTACAACCTAGGATTGGTCTCTTTATTAAGACGGTAAACGAAAACGGCTTTAGCCACGACCACGAACATCCACAAGAAGAAGATGAAGAAGTGGATTCTGAAGAGACAATCGGATTTGTAGTAAGCGGCGTAGAATCCTGCGAGGGACATGGAGAGCAATGAGAAGCTCACGAAGATTCCGGGAGTCGTCACGAACCGGTTACATTCATCGGTCTTGTAATGTAACGTTGAGACGGTGACGAACCAAAATGCGGCTGTGACTAGGAATATCGAGTTTGCGATCATGAAAGTTGTGTTGAATGGAAATGAGATATTCTTGAAACATGACAATGGTGATGGTTTTTCGTTGCTTTGTTCTTCGTCTTTCGCCATTTTTTGGTGTTATTGTTGGGAAAAAAAGTGGTAGAGACAGGGTTGAGGTCAATTAATTAAGGAGTTAATTAAATAAAGAATGATCAAAGAGTTTGATGATGGTGAATTGCACACAAGATAAGTTAGGTTTTGTAGCTTGTAGTCATAGGAAACACATGAAAAACAGAAAGAACAAAACCTAACATAGAGTTTTTCTGTTTTTTTATTTGTTTTTGTTTGTTTTGACAGGTTTCGGTCAAATGGTCCATGAAATTTCCTAACCACTAATAAGGTCAAATGGTCCATGAAATTTCCTAACCACTAATAAAACAACCAAAACTGTTTACAATATTTATCGCATAATATATTAATATTTCATCCCGGTTTATCACAATGACTGCAACTGGAGTATAATTTTATTAATAAAATGATGTAGAATGTTTATTCCATCAATTCTATTAAAATATTATCATTTGACTTGAATGAAATGCGTCATTCATTAATTGCACAAAAGAATAAACAAAAATTTTAAAACGGTTTTACTACAATTTCTTTTTTATTTTCACTCAGACTGAATTGTGTCCACTATTTTGATAATAAATATAGATTTATTCTATTTTTTCTCTATATTCCATTCATCTTCTTTTCCTTTTTATCCCACTACTTTGCTTATAGGTTTACCATACACAGCTAGTATTTATTACAAAAAAAAAAAAACAATATAGCAAACCGGCTGAGACAATACATCTTGTACATGTGTGGAGTTTAGATGGATACACGGAGCAAACTTATCAATCTACAAAATATATATCTAGCCAATAAAACAAGATGGAGATTTTAAGATTATAAGATCGGGAACCATAAGGAATGAAAGTAAGATTGCTTAGAAACTAAAACAAGTAGAAGGACTAGCATAAACAATACTCCCCAGGGAAAGTTGCCTCCTCCAAAAAGAGACGTGGCTTGGCTTGGTCTGACGTAGTAAGAAGATCTGAAGAGAACTCGATGAACAAATTGTAGAGAGACCAACAAAAAGACAAAGAGAATAGGGAGGAGCAGTAAGAAGAGTTTGATATTTGTGGTGGTTTTCTCAACCTCGTACCTGTATCGTGGGTAGGAAGATAGAAAGAGAAGCAGAGATATGATGACAAAGAGAGTTAGTAGTTCAAGTGGAGGTGCTGATGACGGCATCCTCACTTCCATACACCTCCTCTTCTTTCCTTAACAAACAAACTCATTTATCTCTCATCCTCCCTTTCAATGCCAACTTTGCAATGTATTGGAAGACTACACACGCATACAGAAGCATCAAAAATTATATATAGAGAGAGATAGAAAGCAAGATTTTCAGACAATATATAATTATTTATTCTTCTAAATTGTTCCATACTGTTGACAAAGTGGAATGTTTTTTTTATTTTTAAACAAAAATGTATTTATACAATTTTATTCGTATATATATTTACAAGTAGAGGCGATGAATTGATGTAGCACAACCGCATAAGTTCTCTGGGAAAAAGTCGTTCCTCAACAATTTATACCAATCTTTTTTTTTTAATTATAGATTTAACGGCCTTTATTACCTCCCTATCTCATTTCCAAAGTTCTATTATAATCTAGCCAATTTTTTTTTGTAGTTTCAGTTAATTGCGATTAAATCATATAACTAAAATGAATTAAGAAAAAATTGTATCTCATAATCGTTGAAACCATTTTGAACCATTGTATCTGAGATGTAAAAGAAAATTGAAAGGAATACATTCCTTCTGAAAAAGAAATGAATTATTTTCACTTTTACAAACTGCTTTTTGAAAAGATACACAAATGGGTATCATGTCCACAAGAATAATGCACCGGCATGCTTACAAAAAGAGGCATCGAAGAAAAAGGAACCTATGTGGAGGAACTTGTTGAAGTAATATACAGGAGGATCGGATTCGAGCGGCATCAACCAGTTACTAATAAGACGGTGACATACATGTGGTAAAAGCCTCGAGTTGCAACTACGTATGATCAACTCGACAAATATGTTGTCCTGTGGAGAAGATAGTACACAACAAATTGTAACATATCTATTGTAATTAGGGGTGGAAAAAAAACCGGAACCGAAGTACCGAACTAAACAGATCTGAAAAAAAAAACAAATCGAAACCGAACCGAATTTATGAATTATCCAATTGTGTACAAAGTTTAATACCCGAAGAACCGAATTCATATCGAACCGAGAACCGAATAATACCCATATAGAACCGGATGTAAACCTCTTATCTACTTTCTATTTCAAGTCTTGGACGCTTGATGGTTTTCTCTGCTAGATTTGGTGTTTCTCCACTTTTATATTTAGTAGATCCTTTTTCCGTGCTACGCTCGGATAGTGACTTTGATTTGTTATAGTTATTAAATTATAATTTATATATGAATTATTACCTTTGATATTATATTTCATTTAATTTAAATGCAAAATATTCATTTTATTTGATTAGTTGCAACTGAATATTTTCACCATTTTCTACTTTTATGGGTATAAATGAAAAACTTTAGTTTCATTTTTTGTTCAATTGTAGCACAAAATTTATGTTCTTGTAAAATACATTGATATTATTTGAAACTAGAAGTTAACACGATTAACAAAATTTATGTTATTGTAGAAGACACTAATACTATATGAAACTAAAAGTTAACACAACAAATACGAAGAAAATAGGTTTGGTTATAGCATTTTCTTTTATGTTGTTTAATTTCTGCTTATCCTAATTTGAATTGATATGCAATCATTTTTGATAATATTTGAAACCAAAAGTTAACACGATTAACAAAATTTTTGTTATTGTAGAAGACATTGATACTATTTGAAACCAAAAGTTGACACAACAAATACGAAGAAAATAGGTTTAGTTATAGCTTTTTCTTCTATGTTGTTTAATTTCTGCTTATTCTAATTGGAATTGATATGCAATCGTTTTTCTATTTTTCTCTTAATTTTTATTTATGCTTCTAAAAAGAGATATTAATTTAATTATTTTATAAGTGGGTTGAGTCATTAGAAAAATGATTGCTTATCATATAAAATGATTGTAAAATTAAATATTATATAATGATGTCCAATTTTAACATATAATACAATAAATATTTTTTCATTTTTGGTGTTGGACCTCTGTATGTGTGTATCAAGTTTTGCTAATGAAGTACATGTAACAGTAGTGTACAATCCAAAACGTCTTCGAAAAAGTAGTTTAATATTTTGGATTCATACAAACGTTGACCGTTAAACTCATACAACGTTAACCGTTAAACTCACCAAAACTATGTTTTAATATAGTTTTTCTGCTGTCTACGGGCACTACAAGAAAAACTCGTCCATTACTAGGACGAGTTTTCCTCGTTATTTCATTTTTATGTTATATGTTTACATATTTATTTATTATTTTCAAAAATTTGTAATATTAAAACTTTTTAAATGGTAATCTTACAAATGTTTAGTGTAGATTTTCCATTTTTATGTTGTATGTTGTATGTTTACACATTATTTTATTTTTTTTAAATGTAAAATAGTAATCTTACAAATGTGTAATGTAGTATTTTCATTTTTATGTTGTATGTTTACATATTATTTATTATTTTCGAAATTATATATAATGTTTTTTACATTTTTTATAAAATGGTAATGTTACATTATGGAGATAAGCCGTCTTTTTTAGTGAAAAAATGTAATCTTACATATCTTTAATGTATTTTTCCATGTTTTAAGTCATACTAGATTTTGACCCGCGCAACCGCGCGGGTGTTTATTTTCGTTTATATTTAGTTATATAAACATTTTGTTTTTCACTTGTAAATTGGTATATATTATTGTAATCACATATTTACGATATGTATAGTAAATATTTTTCAAACAAAATAATATTATATAATAAATATTTTAATCAAATAGATTGTTTCAAATTTTCTATATTATACATGTTTTTCAAACATGCGTTTGTTTCTTCTTCTATATTTTATTGTTTGTTAGATTAGTATTTCATTTTAGATAAAGTAATATAAATAGAGCTTAATTAAATATTAGTGTAATTTAATTTGCAAAGATAATATAAACTTCAAATTTTTTTTTGCTAAAAACTAAACTTATAGCTTCATAAATTAATATTATAAAGAATTTTATTAAAAAGAATTTTTTAAACAATTTATTTTTTAAAACAATATAATTTTAAAAATTTACATCAAAATAAATTTATCTAATATATATAGCGTGTAAATTTTGTTAGGGTATATAAATATTTCATATTACTAATCTGTGATTTTTGTTAATATATTGTGGATGAATTTAACTATTATTGATATATTTCCTTATAAATAATAGAAGATTCCTAAACTTATATCTATTGACATATTTTGCGTGACTAAGTTGGAAAGTGTGGGGTAATTTACCCAAACCAAATTATTAAGCCTATTATAAGATATAATAATGATAATATTATCAGAGAGTTAATGTAACATAACTTTCTAGTAATAGTCCATTTTTTAAAAAATCACACATGAAATCAAGTCATGACTTCTGTTTTAATATATAAGATGTTTACATATTATTTTCTAAAATTTGTAATATTAAATTTAAAAATTTTAAAAGGTAATCTTACATATGTTTAATGTAGTTTTTTTCCATTTTTATGTTGTATGTTTACATATTATTTTATTTTTTTAAAATGTAAAATTGGAATCTAACATATGTTTAATGTAGTATTTCCCTTTTATGTTGTATGTTTACATATTATTCATTATTTTTGAAATTATATACATATAATATTTTTTCTTTTTTTATAAAATGGTAATATTAGATTATGGAGATAAACCGTCTTTTTTTAGTGAAAAAATGGTAATCTTACATATGTTTAATGTAGTGTTTTTCATTTTTATGTTATATATTTACATGTAGATTTTATTTTGGAAAATTAATAATATTAAAATGTAAAATTTTAATGATGCCATGTGTCCGAAGTGGATTTTTACGCTGATGTGGATGGTCT